TGCCTGGAAACCCAGGCTGTAGCTCAACAGAGTGCTTCTGCACCGGACATCTCACCCAATATCCAATATCCAAGAATGGCAAACAGAAGGCACCTTTATTCAAGGACTCCTCAAATGCAGGGTCTTCCCCAGTTCACTCCACCTCCCCTCTCCCCGCCAGCCAGAGGCTTCTGGGGAAACGACCCCTCTGTCTGCTCACTGGCTCACAAGTGAGGACCCGTGATGAGTCCCCCACATCCCCAAGTGCTCCCTGGGCTCTGTCCTCTCTGCCTCCTCTCATCCACTGCTTGTGCTGATGGATCAGGGTGTTTTGATTTGAAATCTGTTGCAGCAGTTTGAGCAGGTGAGTGAGGCTCCTGGGAAGCAGGGAAATAATGAACACTTGCCCCATCCCTGAGCTCTCCTCCTCTCTGCTCCTGAGAGACTCAGGCAGGAGGCTTTGATGGGGGCCGTGATGCACTTTGGCCATTGGACTCCCAGCCAATTCTGATGCAGTCCATACTATGTGCATTCATGGGGGGATGTCGAGGATGCTGGGAAAATTTAGCTAACTCTGTGCATGTATTGTGTGTAATCCTTTACAACAGGGGTCCCCAACCTCCGGGATTTAATGCCTAATGATCTGAGGTGGAACTGACGTAATAATCATAGAAATAAAGTGCATGATAAAGACCATTACAGTATACTAACACATATATATGTAATTTAGAAAGATGGTAATGATAACCCTATATGCAAAACAGAAAAAGAGACTCAGATGTATAGAACAGACTTTTGGACTCTGTGGGTGAAGGCGAGGGTGGGATGTTTCAAGAGAACAGCATCGACACATGTATATTATCTAGGGTGAAACAGATCACCAGCCCAGGTTGGGTGCATGAGACAAGTGCTCGGGCCTGGTGCACTGGGAAGACCCAGAGGGATCGGGTGGAGAGGGAGGTGGGAGGGGGGACCGGGATGGGGAATACATGTAAATCCATGGCTAATTCATGTCAATGTATGACAAAAACCACTGCAATGATGTAAAGTAATTAGCCTCCAACTAATAAAAATAAATGGAAAAAAAAACAAATAATAAAAAAAAAAAGAAAAGGAAAAAAAAAAATAAAGTGCATGATAAATGTAATGCCCTTGAATCATCCTGAAACCATCCCCCTCCCTGGTCTGTGGGAAAAATCATCTTCCACAAAATCAGTTCCTGGTGCCAAAAAAAGGTTGGGGAACCGCTGCTTTACAAAGCACTTTTTCCCCTATCCCTTCTCTGCCCACAGACGCTGAAGGAATTATCAATCCTGCTTTACAGATGCCAGAGCTGGGACAGAGACGCAAGCTGTTTGCTCTCAGAATTTCCAACTACTTGGTACTGGCAGGTAGACCTGGACTCAGGATTGACTGATAAGAAATCACTGTCTCCTCAGAGTGGAGTCCCAAATCTTGGGAGCTGGAGGAGTGAGGTCATAGGTGGGGATGCCAGAGTCCCCAGTACAATCATGATCACCCCAGGTCAATGCTTGTTGATCCCAGTCCCCTTCAGGGGGTCTCCCAGCTTCCTTCCAAACACCCCCAGTCACAGAGCAAAGGGCCCCTCCTCACAAGGCTGCCAACCAAGAGCAGCTTTTCTACTGAAGTCCTTTTTTCCAATGAGCTAAAATTCACCCCTTCATTCATTGGTCATGCATATTGATGCAGACTATCTGCCAGGGTCCAGGCCCAGGGAGACTGCAGCGAGCAGACAGACATGCCTCCATGGACCTGAATTTGCTCCAAGAAATATACACAGATGAGGAAAGAACCAGAGGTCCTGGGGGAGAAGGAGTTCATATTGGGCCACTTCTTGCCACCACTGGGGACCATCCGCTCCTCTGGCTGATCCACGGCTATTCAGGAGGAGGCACCCCCTAGCTGACCTGGGCTGCTCTGAGGTGTCTGCTCAACCTCAGGCTCCCTGAGGGTCAGAGCATCTCCGCCTTCGGATGGCGAGGTCTCCCAGCTCCCTCCATGGGCACATGTTTGGCTTCCTGCTGTGGCCACCATAAAAGGCAGAGTCTGCAAAGCCAATCTGATCTCTGCCTTCCCTCCCCTTTGCCAAAAAGTTAATTGATTTTGCAATTAAAAAATGCAGAGAACGGGCGGTGTAATCAATTTTACGAAAACTTGCTCAGTAATGAAGTGTTTACTTCCAAATGGCGCACTTTCTCCGCATATCAATCTGGGCCTCTCATGCGGCGTGAACACAAAACTCTCCTGCCTTACTTCTCAGGCTCTCATGCATTTCCCACACTGGGTCCTGGAAGAACTTCGAGGCATCATTTAATTCTGGCTCCCTGGCTATCTTTTAAGGGCAAATATAATTTTCTCTGTCTTATAGAAGAAGAGACTGAGGGTCAGGGAGGTCAAGTGCACAGTGAGGCAGGGCAGAGGAGAAAATCCAATCACAGGCTTCTCCAGCTTCCGGCTTCACTGTCTTGCCTGTCCCACTGCATGGTAGAAACCAGAAAAGTCTGAGCTCAAAGAGAGCAGGAGTCCTTTCTCCAAACAAAGCAGCCTGACATATTTAGTGCCCACCTATGCCAGTTCCACACTGGGTCCTCAACTTACATCACCACATCCATCCCTCACGACAGCCTTCCAAGGGGGAACATGTTCCAGTTTTACAGATGAGGAAACTGAGCGTCAGAGAAGTTCAGTCGCCTGCCCAAGCTTGCACAGCACATACCTCCTGGCCAACCTTTGGGGCAGGTATGTTGTAAATGGAGGTGGGAGGTCAGTTCTGTGTGTACCTATGGGAAGAGAACAGGCTTTGGCAGGCATCCATCCATTCATCCATCCATTAAAACCATTCATTAATTTGAGCATTCAGTAGACAGGTATTGATTGCACATCTATATGACAAGGTGCATCCCCAGGTGGCACAGAGGTAAAGAATCTGCCTGCTAATGCAGGAGATGCAAGAGACATGGGTTTGATCCCTGGGTTGGGAAGAGTCCCCTAGAGGAGGAAATGGCAGCCCATTCTTGGCAGGACAGTCTCCTAGACAGAGGAGCCTGGGGGGCTACAGTCCATGGGATTGCAAAGAATCGGACGTGACTGAGTACACACACACACACACATACACACTTGTGTGTATGTGTGTGTGATGTAAGAAGATCTGTGCTAGGATTCAGCAATGAGCAAAGCAGACCAGACCCACCCCCATGGGGCTCACAGGCTGGGAAATGGGGAGAGACAAACTCAATGAACAATCATGAAAGTAAATGTGAAATATGGCAGGACTGACAAGACGACACTGATGGAGCCATGAGAGCCTGTGATAAGAGCTCTGATCTGGTCATGGAGGGCTTCCTGGAGGCTGTACACTGGAGTGAGATCAGAGGCTTGGAAGCCACTTGGAACCCTGTGGAGTGAGCTTGCCTGTGCGCTGGGAATCTGGGCAAGCTGATGATCACAATCCTGGAAATCCTGATTCTGTAATCTAACATGAGGTCCAAATTCTGTGATTCTGACCCAGTATTTTCAAAGTCTATTAAAGAAAAAAGTTTAAGACTTGAGACTCTAAGGTCCTGGGATTCTGACCCAAGTTTTGACATTTGGAATCTATTAAGTAGAGTCCTGGGAAGTGAAGACTCTGGGGCCTGAGAGACTGTCAGCCAGGTCCTTGGAGGCTGAGATTCCCGCGTGGAGGCCTTTGCTGCTGGAGAAGCACCTGCCAAGATCTTTTATCGACCAGACATGAGCTTTCTCTGGCTCACAGAGTGAATGCCTATGCAGCTCTTTGTGGCATGGAGAATGCAAATTTATTCTGCAGTCCTGGCATCAGCTGGTTGCTTTATCTGCATGTTCCAGTTTCCAGAATAAATATTAGAAGACAAGTCTGTGGAGATTTTCTGTGTGTACACAAGTTAATTCCTCCAGCCAGGGGCTCATCCAGACATGGATTTTAACACAGGGCACTGTTCTCACACTCACTGCTGGTGACAGGGCTGCAGTGAGCCCAGCAGGGGGATGAGGCCTTTTTATGCTGAAGCTTCAGGCCCAGGGAGGATGAGGCAGGCGGGAGGGCAGCCCCAGAGGATCTGGGCCATGTGTGTGGATGGGGCCATTCTCCACGAGCATCTGGGGGTCTCCACATGAACCCCTGGGTCTGGGATCACCTAGGGCTGGTATCAGAGGGCACTCCCCAGTGGGGTGGGAGGGAGGGGGAAGCACCCACAACAGGTCAGACACTGCATTGACCCCGGGTGGGCTCCAAAGTGAGACAGGGCAGAGCTCACCAGCTCAGTCCTGTGACCTCTTCCCAATCCTCTTGGATTCAGTTTCTTCGGGGACCGAGGGGCTGATCCTCCCAGTCTGCCCGGTGGTTCAGAGGGTTAGAGGAAGCCCCCAGGAATGAGGCAGGTAATGAGCATCAGTCCCACAATCCTGCTCTCATCACATCGGTGGGGGCAGGCGCTGCTCCAGCGCTTCACACAGACTCCCTGCTCCCCCAACCTGAGGTTGGGGGTGGGGCACCATCATCACCCCACTTCACAGATGAGGAAAGCGAGGCGCAGGGAGGTAAGTGACTTGGCCACATCAGACTGCTGCTCTAAGAACCTGTGAGCAGATGCAGAAACATTTAAGTTTTTTTAGCAACCCTCCTAGCTGGGTGCCCAGGGACCGGCTGCCCTTCAGCCTGTCCTGAGGGCCTGTCCCTTGTCCTACTGTGAGGATGCTCGGGTTGTAGCCAGAAGAGACTGAGATGCAGGTGATACCCCAGGACTTTGCTCCTGCTGCGCCCTCTCCCTGGAACACCTGGCCCCCGTTTATCTGGGAAGCTCCCACCCACAAGGTTTTGTCATTCCCTGAGGTCACAGGCCCAGCAGCAGGGAGCAGGCTGGAGGCTCTGAGCCCGCTCCAGGCTGCCAGGACCCCCCGCGGGGCGAATAGAGGAGCGGTTCCCTCTGGGGGCTGTAAGGTGCCCCCTCCCCTCACCCACGTCAGCCCCTCCTTCCTTCCTGCAGCCCCGAGACCCCCGCTCTGTCACAGACCCCAGTGCGGCCGCTTAGTCATGTCAGTTAACTCTGAACGGATCACAGGAGCCTTACCTGAGATTTATGAGGACACGCTTAGGCACCAGGTGATTAACTCAAAACAACAGGCGATGCACGTGAAACGTGTTAACCCACGAGCCTGGCCGGTGGCCTTTCAATCCCTGTATGTTCCTTTGGAGACTCAGCGGTGGCCGGCGGCCCAGCTCCTATCGATTAGCACGCTGTTAAACATTTATGACAAGTTCGAATTAATTGGCCGCACTGAGGGGTGCGTTTGACTCGGTCTGAGGTTCCGTGGCCCCGACGAGGCGAGCCTGGGAGGGGTGAAACTGTAAAGGAAGCCCAGCCAGTCGGACGCTGGAGCCGCCATCCCTCCGGGCTCTCCCGGGGTCTGTCCCAGTGGGTTCAGGCTGCAGGCCTCATTCACCCGCACCCTGGCCCCAGCTTCTGCTCTCGCAGGTTCTGACCCTCCCTCCTGCCCCAGGGGCAGACGGTCCCCTGTCTTTACTCACGGAGATGCAGAGACCAGGAGAGGCTTGGCATGACCTGGGAGACAGTCAGATGGGAGGGCCAGGCAGGGTTGAGGAGAAAGAGATGGAAATGAGCAAGGTGCCAGGGGTGGTCGGGGAGGAACTGGGCCCCAGAGATGGTGGGCCTCGTCCACCCACCTTGGGACTGTGCGCTCCTCAGTGTGTTCAGAGGCCTGGAGGCGAGATGCAACGTGATAGGAACAGGAAACAGCACATGGACCAGAGTGGCTACAGGGAGGTGATGGGGGGACGAGTCCTGGATGAAGCCAGAGAGACAGGCTCCAGCCACACAGGGCCTTGACTGCCCCCGTCATATGCCTGCTCTGCATCTCAGGGATGGAGGTGGTCACTGAGCGGAGTTGACAAAAAACGAGTTCTTAGTAGGAGTTTCGGACAATTCTTGTTGGAAACAATGGGGATGGGCCCAGCCATCCTAGCAAGGAAGTGGTCAGTAAACCTGTCACGAGGCCCAGGCGTCAGAAGTCCCCTCACAGGTAAGGGCTCCAGACACACCAGAGTCACATGTTTCAGAAGTTTTGGGAACGAGCCTCTGCTCTCAGGACCTGCCTAACCATATATCCATGAGAAGCAGTCTTCAAGAAATAGACAGTTCGAATTACGTGGGGGCAAATCCACAAACTCTGATGTCCTGGGGTGGGGCTTTGCTGCTGGCACTGGTAAGTGCCTCGGGGGTTCTCTATCATGACCACTCAGCCGTGGAGAGATCAGGAAAGCAGGACCCCAATAGCATGGGCACCTGCAGCATGATCGGTTATCCAGAGGGCAGGGGAATAGAACAAACAAGCTCTCACCTCCCAACACGAAGCCCAGGCAATGTGTGGGCAACCAGTCACGGTGCCATGTAGATGCCTTAACGTTTAAACAGTTCCCAAATGGAGTTCGGGGGAACGCTAGTTTTGGCTAGTGATATTGGATGCTCCAAGAACAAAGGTTTATTACATGGTCGAAGAAGTTGGAAGAACATTATAATCACACACATTTGTGGGCTGAAGTCTAGATGTCCTGCAGACGGTGAAGACACTTCAAAAGAAGCAACCAAGATGTACTCCCAGTCCTTTCGTAAAAGAAGTTTGCTCCCTCTCTCAAAAAAGTAAGAATGGCACAATTTCATGGTAAAAGACAGGCCTTTTCAAAAGGAATGATTGGCAGCCTTATACCGACAGACTACCTTGACCTGATTTTTCCCATTTCGCTGAGAGGCTGTGACAATTTCAGCCCAGGCTGCCCTGACACCAAGTTCAAGTCTGTGCACTGGCTCAGTCAGAACTGGGGGACCCTCTGCCATTGTTCCCTCCAGAGTCCGAGGGGACCCAGAGTGAGGCATTTACTCCATGGGTATAATGTCACCCCCTCCACACAGGTCCACCCAGACCTGCCCAGACCTGCCCCTCCACCATATGTGCTGGGCTTGGAGTTCTGGCCCCACCAGGCCCAAGCCTTGGATCCATGTGGCAAAGAGCATCAACTGTGGGTCAAGAAAGCAAGTCCTGGTCACTGTTGTATCAGTGACCCTGGGCAGGTCACATCCCCACCCTGGGCCTCAGTTTCCCCAACTGTCCCAGGAAGGGTTGGACTGAATGATCTCCTGGTTCCTGCCTCCTCTGCTGGCTCAGCAGTCGGTGGTTCTGGGCAGTGAGGCCTTGCTTAGATCTGCGTAGGAAAACAACATGCATCCTAACATAGTGGTCTCTTCTTGGAAGATAAGAAAGAACAGACTCTGGCCTGATTATGAACTGTGAACCCCAGGACCAGAATCCGAAAGACACAGCTCCATGCCAGTTAGCACTGGCCTGGTACAGAGACTGCTGGTTCCCAGTGTGAGTGGAACAGGCTGAAGCCCCAAGCCAAATGCAGATGTCCTCCTCAGAGATACGGGTTTTAGGATTAACTAAGCCAGCGAGGAGAAAAGCCCCTCCTGGAAGACAGAGCCCTGGGGGAGATAGGCCAGCCAGAAGAAGACTGACATCTGATGACAAGAGAGAGGACGTGAGAATGAGCAGGGCGTCATCACCACCATCATCAGAATAATAGCTAAGAATTGTCATGAGCCTGCTATGTGCCCACCTGCTTCTCAGAGCTCTGTAAGCAGCAAGCCCAGGGCCCAGCACACAGTGAGTGTCCACGCGGCTGGGCTGATTAATCCAGTGGCCACCAGTGAGATCGATTTTTGGTCTGTTTGAAACCATATGTCATGTTTCTGGTATCTGAGACCAATTGATGGGATACTACTAAGAGTGAAATTGGAAGAGAAAGTGGTTTACCAGGGCAGAAGAATGGGGATCAGGGATAGCTTGGGAGTTTAGGATCAGCATGTACACATTGTTATAATGAAAATGAATAACCCACAGGGACCTACTATATAGCACAAGGAAGTCTGCTCAGTATTATGTACAGCCTAAATGGGATATTCATTGGAAGGACTGATGCTGAAGCTCCAATACTTTGGCCACCTGATACAAAGCACTGATTCTTTTGATAAGACCCTGAGGCTGGGAAAGATTAAAGGCAGGAGGAGAGGAGGACGACAGAGGATGAGATGGTTGGATGGCATCACTGACTCGATGGACATGAGTTTGAGTAAGCTCTGGGAGTTGGTGATGGCCAGGGAAGGCTGGCGTGCTGCAGTCCATGGGGTCGCAAAGAGTCAGACAAAACTGAGTGACTGAACTTAACTGAAATGGGAAAATAATTTGAATATCTATACATATATATATATATATGTATAGATACATATATATGCATGACTGGATCATTTTGTTATTCACCTGAAACTAATATAAACTTGTTAATCAACTATACTCCATTATAAAATAAAAAAGTTTTTTTTAAAAAAAAGAAGAAAAAGTGGACAGCTCCCTGGAATTAGAAAGCATTAGTTTGATTCAGGAAGTGCAGTTGCCATCCTTGAAAACCTCATCACCCCTTGAAGGAGGCTGCCCAGGAAATAAGGAACAGCACACAACCATCCCTGTTCTGACTGCTCCGGTTCTTCATGGAGGAGATGGAGTCCCAGAGAAGTCAAGTAATTTGCCCAAGATTACAGAGCAAGTCCAAACCCCAGACTTCTGCCACTAAGGTCCTTCTTCCAACCCACTCTGCCCCTCAGAGCATGGGAGAGGAGTTAGGAAATGAGGCCAGAGTGGACTGGAGACCCCCCAGAGGGCTTCCTGGAGGAGGGGGAGCCCAAACTGGGTCCTGAGGGACAAACTGGAGAAGAGCACACAGAAAGAGAGGAGAAGCCTGTAATTTGCTGCTCCCAGCTCTCTAGGCCCCTGGGCCTGGGGTTCTCCATGAGAAAATTTGAGGTCTTCCTCGAGCAGATGCCCCAGAACCGCTTCCCAGAGCAGGTGGTGCTGCCTCCTGGGCTGTGTTGGATGCCGCCCCCAGGTAAGGAGTGGTGGGCAGGGCGGAACAGGAACTCCTGAGAATATCCAGGTGATTCTGAATGGTAGCGAGGATGGCCGTGACCTTGCCCATCTGCTCTGAGAGGACAGTGGTCTCACTAGTGTCTGATGAGGCCGTTAGACCACATTCCGTCAGCCAAGCAGGTCCTGCTGCTACTGCTAAGTCACTTCAGTTGTGTCCGACTCTGTGCGACCCCATCCCTGGGATTCTCCAGGCAAGAACACTGGAGTGGGTTGCCATTTCCTTAAGTGAAAGTGAAGTCGCTCAGTCATGTCTGACTCTTAGCGACCCCATGGACTGCAGCCTACCAGGCTCTTCCGTCCATGGGATTTTTCAGGCAAGAGTACTGGAGTGGGGTGCCATTGCCTTCTCTGCCAAGCAGGTCCACCAGACCCAAATTCCCCAAAACTGTCCTGTAAGTCTGAGAACTTCACTGCCTGCAGACTTTGTGAATGTAAGAGTCTCCCCGTTACGTCCACAATCACTTCCCTCCCTGTTGCTGCCTCCGGAGCCAGTGCTGTTAGCCCAGCTCCCCATGATAATGCTGCAGAAGCAAAACACCACACATGGGGCATGAAAACACACATTAGCTCAGCGGCTCTGCAGGCTATTCTGCATGTGCGAGTGGAGAAGCTACATGTCTGTGTGCTGCGGGGAGGTGCTTCGGTTCTCTGCAGGGGCCAGCTTTCCAGACCAGCCCCTGGATGCTGAGCCAGCAATACTTTTAAATCTCAGATCTCCTTCTCTCCTGCCCACCCTCCCTCCCTTCTCTGACAGATGTTTACTGATACCAATTAATGTGCAGATTCTGAAGTAGACGCCAAGCTATGGGGACGAGTGAGAGATTCCAGCCCCTGGTGGAATCTGGTACAAGCGCCAACAGAAGAAGACCAGGTAGTGACAATGGTTTTTTACTTATGCAGCACATTTGTTGAGCACCCGCTTGGTGACAGCCAGTGTATTAGAAGAACTGACAAATAAGCAAAACCGCCTGGTCCCTGCCCCCTGGAACCCACAGTCTAGAGGGGGAGACAGACATTAATCTAGAATCACACAATTAAATGTATATGGATATGGGATGCAAAGAAGAGGTCCTTGGGGGACTTTGAGAGCTTGCAGCTATGCTGGAGGGTCAGGGGAGAGACTGGAGGAGGCTTTCCTGAGGATGAGATGCTTGAGCTGAGGTCTGAGCAATGAGCAGGAATTATCTGTCACAGGAAGGGCACCTGCAAAGGTACTGTGGCTAGAGGGCTCTTGCGACCAGAAGAAGTTTCTAAGACCTACATGGTTGAAGACAGGGAGTGTGTGTGTGTGGCAGGGGTTGGTGGGGGAGGCGGGGAGCCTGGAGAGGGGCACAGACAAGACTGTGTGAGACATCAAATTCCACATTAAGGATCTGAGTCTTCATCTTAACAGCAGTAGAGAATATTGCAGTGCTTTAAGTGGTAGTGCTATAAAGGAGAGTTTATTGTTGTTTAGTTGCTAAGTCGTGTCTGACTTTTTGAAACCCCATGGACTGTAGTCTGCCAGGCTCCTCTGTCCATGGGGTTTCCCAGGCAAAAATACTGGAGTGGGTTGCCATTTTCCTTCTCCAGGGGATCTTCCTAACTCAGGGATCGAACCCGCTCTTTACCACTGAGCCACCTGAGAAACCCAAGGGAGTTTCATCCATTTAACAAATACAGTCTTGAATTGAGTCCCTGGACACACTCCACCTTGGTATTTGTCCACTTTCTTCCCATGGTTATACCGATCTGGTTCAACCCTTAAAAACACTCAGATCAGGTGTGTTTTCCTCCAGGAAGGCCCCTCCTGGTCCCCCAAATGAGTCACCCCTCCTTTGTCCTTCCACAGCACCTGGGAGGATCCCTGGTCTGTCACTGCTGATTTATGAACCAGGCCCTCAGCACCCTCTCGGAGGAAGAGACTCAGTAGGGGCGCGGGGGAGGGATGTCAAATCTTAATCTCCTTCCCAGCAGTCTTTCTCCTTTCCGACTGGAAGTTCGAGGAGGGCAGGGCATCATTCTGTCCACCTTCTAACATGCTGTGAAGACTGGACACTGCAGGACACACAGCAGGATGGCAGTACTGCAAAAGGGGAGCAGGGAAGGGGGGGGGGGGGGGAGGGGAGGGAGGGAAACGCCAAGGGTTTTACTTCGTAAGCACCGAGTGAGGATGGGAGGCAGAGGAGAAAATTGGAAATTAACAGGTTGTGAGAAGTGAGGAAAGCAGAAAAGATGAAATATTTAAAATGGTCACGCTGTGACCTGTAACATTTTGCTTAATCAAGTACAAATTGTTCTGTGCCTCGGGTGGATGTGAGAACCGGTCCGAGTTGGCGTCTCAGAAGAGCTTTCTGCAGTGAAACATTTTTTTACGAGGGTCATTTCACACTAAGCTGGGTATAAACTGCTGTCAGGGGCAGAAGAAATCCCAGGCCCTTGGCCTGGAAGAGAGCAGACGCCCCGACACGAGGCCGGGCTGGGGTGTCCGGTCCCACCCCTCCGAGATGGTGGGTTTGGGCTAAGGCTCGGGGAAGCAGAGGGACCCTGCCACGCCCTCCTCACAGCTGGGTGCCCAGTGCCCTGATCCCTGGGACCCCCCTCCCTCCCATCCAAGGGTGAGAGCTGGCCAGAAAGTCCCAGGATCTCCTCCTGGCCAGCTCCCCAGCATGTCACATCCAAGACCAACCCGAGGGTCCCTTTGCTGAGGTTCTTGGGGGACTTGGAGCCCTCCACATTTGCATCACTCTTGGCTGCCCTGACTGCCAGCTGACAGCTTCCTCATTTATAAAGCAGCAATGTTTCGTTCCTTCACCAAAGATTATTTGGGTGTCTGGAGTGTGTCAGGCAGTGTCCTAGGCCTGGAGACAGAGTACTGGGGACAAGATAGGGTCCCTGCTTCAGTGGCCTTCATCTAGTGGGCAATCCTTCTGTGTCCTGGACCTGGGAGCATCAGGGTGATGGGCTGTGTGGGCCAGAACACAGGGTCTGTGCACTGTCAGAGCTCGGAACTGTCTGTGGGGTGAAGATCAACAGCAGAAAGGCAGGCCGGGGCTCTGACTTACCTCCTCTCCCTCACTCCTCACCCCAGCCCTGTTGCTCCTCTGTAGACATAGGAAACAGAGGCTCAGAGAGGTCACGTGCATTGTCCAATGACACACAGCTAACTTGGGAGGATCCAGGTCTCCTGGCCCCATGCTCTTTCCATGACCCTGGGTTATGTTTGTGAGCCGTCTGCAGCCCTTGGGGTCATATCCCTGGGTGTCAGAGGAGCCTCCATTCCACAGGATCTTGGGACTCATCCAAGCTCTTTCTCCTCCCTGGTCCTGACCCCTCCCTGCTCCGTGAGGGTGGGTTGATCCTGGATGGGACCCTCCTGGCTGTGTGACTTGGCCCTTTCCATCTACCTCCCCAGGCCCATGGTCCCTTCCCTATAAAATGGGCAGTGAAAGTCCCCAGCCCCTGAGTTGTTATGAGGATAGAGTGAAGTAATTGGCATAAAGCTGGGGACACTTGCCAGCAAGCTGTTCTCTCCCAGGAAACTCCTCCCACCCAGGCACTTTCCAGACTCCTCCCCCAGTGGCCTCCCCAAATCTGGCTTTTGATGGCTTATCACCTTATTGATTTCCTTCACAACAATTTTCAGGCAAGGTGACAATTTTATTTATTTGATCTTTTTTATTTTGACTGCTTCTGGCATCTCCTGCCAATCTCATTCACAGCAATGTCCCAGTGCTCAGCACAGACCCTGGTACCCAGAGGAGCCTGCGAAGTCCAGCTGGATGGAGGGCTGGGTGAGGAGTGGGACTGATTGTATCAGAACAGATATTCAGAACGGATGAAGTAACACATAACCGCAACTCCTGGCTGTTGCTGTCTATTTGCTAAGTCTTGTCAGACTCTTTGCGACCCTTTGGACTGCAGCATGGCAGGCTCCCCTGTCTTTCACTGTCTCCTGGAGTTTGCTCAGATTCATGTCCATTGGGTCGGTGATGCTATCCAACCATCTCTTCCTCTGCCTCCTTCTTCTCCTTTGGCCTTCAACCTTTCCTAGCGTCAGGGCCTTTTCCAATGAGTTGGCTCTTCACATCAGGTGGTGCTTTCACTCAATAAGAGTTGGTTTCTCTTCTGTACTAAGTCTAAGGAAGGTTGCTCTTCTGTACAAAGTCCAAAGTCCAAGTTGGGGAACTCTCTGGGTAGACGCATCTCCCAGCAAAGGTGAGGGATTCAGGCTCCTCCCATCCTGGAGGCTGCCACCTGACCACCCACTGTCTCTCTGGGCTTGTGTTCCCGTCTCCTCACTTTGCCACAAAGGCTGACCTGTCCACAGCTGGCTCTGCCGAGGGTTCTGCACTTAAAGCATCTCTAGCTGTGTTAGGACCTTGGCTTTGCCCTTCTGTGGCCTTAGAAAGTCCATGTAATCTGGCTTCTGTCCACTGAACCGGCATGATTCCTCTTGTTGTTCCCTCTGTCTGGAGCACTCTTTTCTTCTCTCTTTGTCCAGCCTCAATCCCCCTCCTTCCTTCTCAGCATAGAACTTCTCCTGGGAAAACTTCTCAGACTCTCCCTCAACCCCAGCTGATGTTAGTTTCCCCTGGGCCCTGAGCCCCACTAACAGGAATTGTCCCATATTGTTCTCATTCATGGCCATGTCTGCCCCCTGCTCTTAGCTTCCTTAGGGCTGACTCTATCTGAGTCCCAACCACATCCCCAGTGCCACTCGGATGCCCCATCAAGAGAGAAGGAACAGAAGAATGAAGCAAGGAAATTCCCCCAGTCTCCGTGTCCTCATTTGAAAAATGGGTTTAATAACTCCTCCCTCACAGGGTGGGGGAGATCTCATCCCCCTCACAGGCTGATCAGATCTCATCAAGGTTCTGATGCTCTCAGGGGAACATGAGAGGTTGTTTGCAAAGACGGCTGTGTCATTCCCCATGCTGCCTCTGTATCCTGGCCCCCTGCCATGTGACATTCCATGTG